GATGATGATGACCACGAGGATGATGGTAGGATGATGACTGTCATGATAATTATCATCGTAGCATCATCTGCATTAACAATGCTGCCATGAGGATCAATGATGATAAGGATGATGACTGTGATGATCAGGGTGATGACTGTGATGATAACTATTATCGTAGCATCCTCTGCGTTGACGACTGTGATGACAACTATCATCGTAGCATCCTCTGCATTACCAATGCTGCCTAGCGCCACAATTGAAATGTAGACAGTAGTAAGAAACAAGAAAGAAGCAAGATGACCACAATGACTGTGATGATAACTATCGTAGCATCGTCTGCGTCATAAGAGATGGTGACGATGAGGGTGATGACTATGATGATAAGGATGATGACTGTGACCAATGCTGCCGATGACCATGAGGATGATGATTAGGGTGATGGCTGTGATGATAACTATCATCGTAGCATCCTCTGCATTACCAGTGCTGTCTTAGAAGATGATGAGGATGATGACTGTGACGATAAGGATGCTGCCTGTGATGATAACTATATATCCTCGTAGCATCCTCTGCATGACCAATGCTGCCTAACGCCACAATTGAGATGTCTATAGCCATAAGAAATATGAAAGAAACAAGAAAAGGATGATGATGACCGCAATGATGATGATCAGGATGATGGCTGTGATGATAAGGACTGTGGCGTTAGGCAGCATTGGTCATGCAGAGGATGCTACGATGATAGTTATCATCACAGTCATCATCCTTATCATCATAGTCATCATCCTCATCATCACCATCTCTTTTGAGGCAGCGTTGGCACTGCAGAGGATGCTACATCGTCACAGTAAACAGAAATAAGAAAGAAGCAAGAGTACGATGATGCTGACCACAATGATGATGATCAGGATGATGACTATGATGATAAGGATGACAACTGTGGTGATAGCTATCATCGTAGCATCTTGAGCATTACCAATACTGCCTAACGCCACAATTGAAATGTATATAAGAAAGGGTAGGATGATGACTGTCATGATAACTATCCGACCATGAGGATGTTGACTGTGATGATAAGGATGATGACTGTGATGACAACTATCATCGTAGCATCCTCTGCGTTACCAATGCTGCCTCAGAAGAGAAGATGATGATAAGGATGATGACTGTGATGATAAGGATGATGATTGTGATGATAACTATCATCGTAGCATCCTATGCATTGCCAATGCTGCCTAACGCCACAATTGATTTGTATAAAGTAACAAGAAAAGGGGATAGGATGATGGCTGTGATGATAACTATCATCGTAGCATCGTTTGCATTACCAATGCTGACTGGGATGATGGCTATCATTGTAGCATCCTTTGCATTACCAATGCTGCCTAACACCACAATTGAAGTGTACACAATAAGAAGAAAGAAAAAATGATGATGACCACAATGATGATGATCAGGGTGATGATGATGACCACGAGGATGATAACTATCATCGTAGCATCATCTGCATTACCAATGCTGCCGACCATGATGATAAGGATGATGACTGTGACTACCATCGTAGCACCCTCTGCGTTACCAATGCTGCCTCAGAAGAGATGATGATGATAAGGATGATGACTGTGATGCTAAGGATGATGACTGTGATGATAACTATCATCGTAGACGCCACAATTGAAATGTAAATAGTAATATGAAATAAGAAAGAAACAAGAAAAGGATGATGATGACCACCAGGATGATGGCTATGAGATGACTGTGATGATAACTATCATCGTAGCATCATAAGAGATGATGATGATGAGGATGATGACTATGATGATAACTATCATCGTAGCACCCTCTGCAGCACCAACAATGCCCATCGCCACAATTGAAATGTACATAGTAGTAAGAAATAAGAAAGAAACAAGAAAAGGACGATGATGACCACAATGATAATGTTCAGGATGATGGTGACGAGGATGATGATAAGGAGGATGATTGTCATGATAACTATCATTGTAGCATCTGCATTACCAATGCTCCTTAATAAGAGATGATGATGACCAAGAGGATGATGATCAGGATGATGACTATGATGATAAGGATGATGACTGTGATGATAACTATCATCGTAGCATCCTCTGCATTACCAATGCTGCCTCATAAGAGATGATGGACCTTCCCTTGCGCCTCACCCTTGCAGACAAGGGGTCGGCGGAATTCCGAGGCAGATTTTTGCACCTAACTTGAAAGAGGGCGCCGGTCCAAGGAAGCGCCACGCGTCTTGTTTGGAGCTTGCTAGTCTTGATGAGACCGCCGTCTTCTGGAGCACCATGATGACGTAGAGCGGGAGGACGCTCATCACCTTCCCATCAGCAGCATTTCCCAGCATCATTGGAAGCGGGGCCGGGCTTTTCGAAGTTGCGATGCTTTTTGCGATGCGATTTAGATACTTCGTTGCAAAGCAGGCTGCCTTCTTGGTGCTGATGCCGACACGTTCGCATGTTTTTTCAATTTCGCGTGGCGAGGCTAATTTGTCAGAGCGCTTATCGGCTAAACTTCATTGCTAGTAATGCTGGTGTAGATCGAGGCGACTCGTTTCGTCACTCGTGCTGGCACAGCCTGGATGTGGCGACGGACGGGGCAGGCGTTGAGGCTCCAAGCGGTGTTGCAGACACCCGGCGCGTATCCAAGGTGCAACGACAGGCAAAGTAGTTGGCTTACAAAGGCCCCGCCTGGACAAGCGGAGAAAACCGACTAACCCCACAAAAAGAACGCTGAGAGACCAATTGCCACTAGTGAGAGGAGAACAGAGACTGTCGTGAGCCCGTGTTCCGAAGTGCGCAGCAATTGCGTTGTGAAACTGAGCTGGCCAAGACAAACCAGCGCCTGTTTGTTTGTTTGCTTGCTCCATTTGTTGGTTGCCTTTGATACCAACGCGCAGCATCTCTTTCGCGGTTGATGTTGCCGTGAACTCGCACGGTTGTTTTACGCAGGCTTGGGGCAGACAGTGGCAGCAGCTTTCTGGCAGCAAGGCGTCCGGCGTTTGACATTGCTGACACGCTCCTGGAAACCAGGCTGCGACTTTGAGAGCTTCCCAGGCGCGGTGTAATGGGAACCATCGGGGGTGTCCCAGTTTTCAACACGGACCCTTCATGTTTTTCGGACCCCTTCTGTGTCAAGTGCCCATTCATTTACGAGGGCAGCATTAGACCTCCGTTCGCACGTGGGAGTTGGTCGCTACAACAAAGTGGGCGCGAAGCAGCCTCACTTGGCTCGCACTGGCCAAGGTGCCGAAATTCTTTACTCCGACGTTTGCGACCTGACAGAGCTGCCCAGCAGCATCACAGGGATCATCCACGCTGCTGGCGTTCTGTTCGATGAGCGCTTGGGACAGATGAGCTGGCAGAGCTTCGCCGACGTTTTGCATCCCAAGGCGGGAGTGAGACACGTTGCAAGGCATGTGGCGCGAGCAGTTCTTCTTCTGGAAAACGCTACTTCAAGTGCCATCTGACTTAGGTTCACGGGGCTTGGCACCTTCACCGCCTCTCCAAGACTTTGCCGGACCTCTCGGTCTTCAGCCTTTTCTCATCATCCAGCACAGTGCTTGGATCTTGGGCGGCATAGCATTACCGTTCGAGACGTTTTTGCTTTTAAGCAGCAGACATATTTTTGGGCCTCGCTCTAGCCGGCTACGCCTCTTTAAAGTTCGACCATGTCATGTCATGTCATGTTTTTTGTCTGAGAAACGCATCCTGTGCTATGATATGGCTGGTCAGGTTATGCATGTTGCCCACCCCAGTCCCAGATGATGCAGGGGATGCCAGCTTTCTGGAGGCCCCAGCCCAGAAGGTTCACATGGGGTCTCGCGCGCGCGCGCCAGAGGCCCCAGAACGAGCAGCCGTAAGCCAGCGCGAGCGCGGCGGAAACGCAAACGCAACAACACACAGTTTTTAGTAGCGTTTTGTGGCTGGGGTCGCGCGCCAGAAGCACTGAAAACCAACGGGGAAAAAGCAAGGGCCGCGCAGCACACGAGCCAGCCACAACCAATGCAAAACGGACAGAACAACAGCCCAACGCTCAGTACAGCAGTTTTTGACGGTATTTACGGCGTTTTGTAGAGCGAGGACCCAGCATCGCCGGCATGCCCGGCAGCGCTTAGCACCAAAATGCGCGAAAATGAGCCTTGCTTGTATCTCTCCGGCACCTTCTAAATTATCCCGGCAAGAGACCCCAAATAGTATTGCGTCCAACTTGACGACAGGTGGCCCAGAAGCATAGAAAAACGTTAAGTAAACACTGACGCCTCTCCCACCTGATGAGATCGTAAACACGTCGGTGCCCCTGCTCAAGCGTGGATTCTGATGAGCGTGTTGCGCGCGAAGCTGTGCGTGATGTTGCGCGCGATGTCGCATGACGTTGCGCGCGATGCAGCGCATGATGCTGCGCATGATTTTCTGCAACCTCTCTTGCCAAATCTTTCATGTCCTCTGTTGAAGAACTCTCTTGTCCATATCTGTGAGCAGCTTGGCTGCGCAAGAAGGCTGGCAAATTTAGCTGCGGAAGCTTACTTCGCATACTACCTGGAGCTGCACGAGCGCGTTTCGCGCGCACGTTGCCATTTACGAGTTTGCAGCCGGAGCTGCGGGAATGCACTTAAGTGAATTTCATTCTATTTGAGGGTCAATTCGTTTTATTCGGGGGTTGTGTTGGGGAATTTAATGGGCCCATTCTTGCAGTTTGAGGTCACAGCCATGCCGCCCCATGTAGCCTGTTGGCTTGCAGTGAAGCACATGGAACTGGCAAATACGCGCTTGAAAATGGAGAAAATGATTGAGGTACTTGTCGCTTATATACGGTGTTTCTCCAGCCCGTGCGGCTAGGTCGAGCAAGTTTGGGCACGTAAGGTTGCTTCGGCCCCTAGCGCCTCAACCGGCGAATTACTGCTGCCCAACCAGGCTCTGTGAAGGATATCAGCTTCACACTGTCAACCCTGCAGTCGTCTAGCCACACCATTGCAGTTCAAGATGCTTTTCAAAAACCGCCCACGAGCCAGTCTTTAAGATTTGTACTAATTCAAGACGCAAACTGCCTGCAGCTGAGAAAAGCAACGGGGTCAAGCAACTTGCTTTACACTTAGCAGTATTTGTAAGCATTGCTTGCGCCAACTTCTTCCTGCAACAAGTGAGAATGGGAAGGGTTTTATTCGGGTTCAAAAGCTTTTGCTGCGGGGCGAGTGCCGATGTGATAGGGGCAACTGCTTCAACAAGTTTGCTGCCAAGCCAGGCCTACAAGCAGAACTGAACTCCTCCCTAAAAAATTCTAGGATATAAAACCTGCTCAAGACTTTCACGAAGGAACCTTAGCTTGGATCTTTCCCGCGCAAAAATACACATAATCCCTTGAGGAACCCCGACCCCTCCCTGAAATCCACAAGTTCGTGCGGGAAGTCACCATTGCCAAGCTCTAGACCAGCGTTTCCAATGCCTTGGGGCGGTTCCTTTGATTGAAGGGTTAGGACCATGTTTCAAACATGTTGGCCTGTGCAACTCCACCCCCCCCCCGGCCCCCAAGGTTCACAAAAGGAAGCCTGTGAAGCACATAAAGCTCGACATATTCTTCATGAGTCTGTATGCTTCCCAACAAGTGTGTTGTCCAATGCAGCAAGAATCAGGCAAAACACTAAGGTTCCAAAAGCGCAAACAGACACTAGAGGTGGTGAATGTGGCGAAACAGTGTGGATAATGGAAAGTGGATATGAGACAACCTTTTTCAGCTAGCCTACTCTACCGCTCCCCCCCCGAGTTGCTGAAGATGTAGAGGTTTCAATAGAGAACCTGGATAACGATGAGGAGGTGAAATTCCCTTGAAACACTGACTGGGCCACTCGAACTTGTGGCAAGGCTAGTAGAAACAAATTTCGGGTGCCATTTCGAGACCCTTCGCACCAGAAGCCTGCCACGGGGAAGCCTGAAAATGTTTCATTCTCAGTATCAATGCAAAGTGTTGCTGCTTTGGCTGCTTTGCTTTGGCTGGGCCTCTTCATGATGCGCGGGTTATAGGTGAAGCACAGGTACTCCGAATTGTTCACACGCTTCACGAGCGAGTGGAAACACCTCCTACAATTGTGCCAAGCTTTCCGGTGTGTGACACGTGCGCCTACTACAAACAGGTTTGCGGGAGCTGTTTTCTAAAGGTCCGCGTTAACGAGTCAGGTGAGTTGCTTGACGTGCCGCTGAGGACTCTACATCAAAATTCGAGCGGCCAGGGCCTACACGCGCCGTCTCGATAAGATTGCAGCTGAAAGGAGCTTGGAAGAAAATCCGGGCACAGGGTTTGCTTTGGCTTAGAAAGTGTTGCGATGGTCACTCTGCAGCCAAACGCAGGCCATGAGGCCATTGGACTATCCCTTGCTCCCCTATGCGTTGGCAGGGTTACTTGGCTATTGCAACAATGCTTGCGTATGATAGCGCTGCGGAGATGCAGCCCAGCTTTGGACATGCTGCGATTTTCTCACCCGCAGCACTGTGAGGGTTTCCTGCTTTTACTTCGCTGTGTTTGCGCCGCCGCCTCCCGGTTGCTTCTCCTCCCATCTCTTCCGCCCTCGACGCCCTCATTCACTCAGTCTCACTCGCCCACCTGTGCTGGGCCACTCATTCTTTCTGAGCCGCCCTCACTCACTCATCGTAACTTCTCACCTACCCATTCGCACTCACTGACTCTCAGTCGCTCATTCTCAACTAGTCTCACTCATACATTCCCGCTCCCTCATTCTCGCTCGCTCTTTCTCACTTGAGTCACTCATTCTTACTTTGCATTCTTACTCACTCAATCTCATGCGTCTCACTCTTGCTCATTTCCGTTCACTCAGTCTGACTCACTCATGAGTCACGCTCACTCCTTCTCACTCATTCTCCCTCGTTCTCACATCTTCTCACTCCTTTGCACTCATTCTCACTCCTTCTCACTCATTCTCACTCACGCACACTCGCTCGCTCGCTCGCTCACTCCTTCCCTCCGCTCTTTTGTTCAGTGCTCAAGTGTGGAAATATAGGAATAGGCAATGCTAAAGGCACGAGAGGTAACGCGTGATGTGGAGCGTGTTCTTTCAAGTAAAAAGCACAGAGAACAGGGATCAGGCGCTGGTTTTGGAAGCGCAGGTACGGAAGTTTCTCACCACTTCTGAAGGGGTACATAATTCCCAACATGCTTGTGCGCACAAGTTTTTCATTTACGTATGTATGTAGGCGCTCGCGAATCGCGAAGCATAGCCCAAAATGGCATCCCTTCACACCAGCCAGCAGAAGGTACAGCGCCCTCAAAACAAAGCCGCCTGAGGCCTGAGGCCTGTCCTTGTCAGCCCTGCTGCAACTTCGGCCCAGCAACCTTGCCCCTGAAGATCTTTGTACATATCATCAACTCTGGTTTTTTCACTTGGAGCGCTCCCTTGGTTCCTGAATGGTTGTTTCACTCTCTAAACAAAAGACTGGTGAATACTTGGGAGTGGGAAAGGCGACGGTTTGGCATCCCTGG